ATTCCCAGATGCCCTGTGCTCAGTTCTGACTGAGGTAACCACCAACAGCCTCTATCAGCTTAATGATGTCTATTGTTGGCAGTACTTCTGTCAGAGAGTGAGGTTAATATCAGGAAATAAAATAAAATAAAATCTGCTTAGTAAACATTGTAAAAAAAACAGGTTATATGTTAATGTGTTTACACCAGCTATTCCGCTCTTAGGCTTCATAATTTCATTGTTTAAAATTTTGTTTGTTAATACATGGTTAAATTTATACAAACTTTGAAGTAGCTTGAAATGTTAGAGCTGAAGTTAAGAAATAAAAGTGTCTGTCAGGTGTTTGGCTCCTAGTCCAGACTTCAACTAGAACAGGAACACTTGTCTGATCTTGGTTATATTTCTTAGGTAAGAGACATCTGCCACAGACATTTCACCTTTAGAAGGGTTTCTCTAATAGTCAATGTCATTTTCCCTACAGGAAAACCACTACAGAATTTAACAGCAATAGCTGTAGAGAATATCATAGAAATTACATTTCTATACCTCCAGGACTGAATAGAGATTAATATAACTTACACATTCCTATCAAGGTATTTTATTACATTTTATAGGAAGAATACAATTTTCTCTTAAATTATATGGGATAGTTTAAAGAACAAGGTTGTAATTTCCTTAACAAATACTTTCAGGACCTTCCTATGATAGTTCACATTTTAAATTCTATCATTTTCTCTATAGCTTATTTAGGCAAGTGTGGTCACCCACATGTGACGAAACAAATTAAAAAGGGCACATAATGTTCCAGTTCCAAGTACTTGGGTGGATGAAGTTGCTTAATATACATATATCATACTCTTCCAAAGTATCAAAGACTTTTGGATGAATTGAATGCAATATATTAACTCAATTACAATGGAAACACAGATCAAAGAACGTAGCTGGGAGGTCTTATTAAAGTATGAGACTTTATTAAAATGCCACTGGCTTTGATTATACTGTATTAAAGTATCTCAAATTTCACTTCATGTCCCCAGAAAGAAAATTCTACTGGGGAACTGTAGGTTCAAGGTTTCAGACCCTGTTTTTCAGTGTTGTTATTAGAGTGGACTTGTATTGGTAAAAAACACCAAAGATCTTTTTTAATCAGTTTTGACACTGAATATATGATCTCATTTGCTTCAATTTACTGCCTTTTTCTTTTGTGATTTTTGCTTCTGGACTTTACTCATTCACATCCATCTTGGAAAGACTTCAGTTTTTCAAAGGAAGTAATAACCCCTCCCTCTACCCCTCCTGTATTAAAAAAAAAAAATATATTAGAAATTATTAGTTCATGGCATGGGATGAACACATAGAAAGGTACCATGTCCAGGTTTTCCAGCTGGCAGGGCAGTGCTGAGCTTTCAAAGGAAAGGCATTAATGGAGAGCATTTTCAGTGAGCTGCAGTGCTCAACTGATCTATTTCTGCTGCTGAAGCCAACACGCAGGATACACATGAATGCTGAGCACTGCTATCAGTGGTAATAGCCCTCTAAATTGGAAACAATCATTGTAAAGACATCTAACAGACATTCTCTGCCACATAAGAACAAGATTGAGATAAAAATCACTTTTCTTAATTCGTTTACTTTCCTGTTGCTACACATCATGTCAACACTTGTTTGTAATTCTATTAAAATGGTGACGCACCCCCTGTCGTGAGGCAGGAACGGTGCAAAGTTTGCATATTGCTATCTTGCATATACATCCTATTTTGTACTTGATATTGATACAGCACTGTTCAGTCTCTCTGCAAGTGCAAAGGTAAAGTCCAGCACTGTCCTTGCTTTTGTTGTGAGGAGCCCCATTCCACAGGAATTAGGCTTTCAAGGTACATAGCTTGCCATGAACTTGGAGAAACATGAATTCAGTAACTAAACTGATTTCCTGCTTTACTCTGTACGTGTTCTTTGTGTTACACTGAAAGTAAAACACAGAGCATGCATTTCCACCATGACTAGAACATAATTTTAAGAGCAGGGATGGTTTCTCTCTCCAGTGACCAACGTTATGGATCTCACCAGAGATGCGGAAAGGCTCAGGACGAGATAACAAGGAAGCAGTTTATTACAGATAAACAAGAATAATTCCATTCATTTATGGATTGTTTCAGGGATTCTGAAAGACTCTGCTAATACTGCCTATTAAGATAGAGAAGATGGGGAGGAGAAAAAAATCAATTTGTTTCTTAATCTATTTAAGTGAACAAAGAATTGTGTGTGAAACTGAACAGAGAGAGTCAACAAAGCTCACAGCAAACAAAAAAGAAGCTTTATTTTTGCATAATTATGTCTGAATTACAGTAGATTTGACAGAACCTGTTCCATGCTAAGCCCTAAGGTCTTATTTAGGCGGAGCACAACATCAAATACCCTGGCTCTAATGTGCTCTTTCTGGGCTAATCTACTATCTCATGGGACATCACACACAGGGACAGCACAGGCAGTTGAATGGTTTTGTTGATTTATATATTCAGTCCTTGTAGGACTTATTCCATATGTTTGTTGAAAGCTATGATAGCACACTGTCAGATCTCTGGGTTGGTTTTTTTTTGGGGGGGAGGGGTGGTGGTGGCTTCCTTATCTCTAAAATAGAAATGAAATAAGAAATATTAGTGCTTTTCTGGTAAGAGAGAGATAAAGTTTAACCCCTGAATACTTGTAAATGCCTTCAGAGGACACTTCAGAAGTGCCTAATGCTATAAGTTATGGTTTTATAAGGTCTTTTACTACCATTATAGTATCAGGGGTTTGATCCTTCAGCCTTTATGCATGTATGTAACTTGACATAAAGGAGGCTCATTGAAAAGCTTTCATGAGCAGCACTAGCCATGCAATCTGAACACCAGATTTTATAAGAACCTAAAGGAATTGAGCTATGACCCTGCACCAGGGTAAGTCACTCCAAATGTTGCTGTGTTCAAATCACAACCTTTTATCTGAACGGAAATAGCTGTATTTACGAAATTGCTGATATTAACACAGTCTTCCTGTATTAGCAGAGTAAATGCCCTAAGATAAGAATTAAGATTGCCTGCTGAGCATCCAAAACTCTACAGCATCAGGAGGCAGTAAAGCAGTAAGCTGCTCAGAAAAACAGCTCCACATCTGATAGGCAAAAGCACAATAAATCAAAGATAAAGTAAACTTTCTAGATAACCAGGAGCGTTTAACACTGTTCTGATTAAACTCCTCTACAGGAAATGAGTAAACACAGTCTCCATGCTTTCCCCATTTTTCTGCCAATTTGCATCTTAATGTATAAACTGGTTCAGGTTACTCATTCAGCAAAGCAAGGGATTGATTTACAACTTTTCATTTTTGCAGTAGTTTCCCATCAACTACTGCAGGGCTGTTCAAGGCAACTGAGCACAGCCATGGGCAGGCATTTAAAGATTAACAGGCCTTTGTGGCATTCCAGGGAGATGACAAAGCCATCAAAATTCATTATTTTTTTCCAGCATTGCACACATGCTGCTCGTGACTGCTACAGTTATTACACCAGTGGCTTTTCAGAAATCTTGCAGTTTAAATCTGTGATACTGTTTTTTGTTTTTTGGTTTTTTTTTTTTTCCTTAAAGACTTGAGTTATGAGATTATGAGAAAAATCTCCAATTCCATTGAAAGTGTATTTTTTGTCCCTGTGTTTGCAATGGAAAGGCTTGAAATGTGAGCCAAGTTACAAAGCCTCAGTTGTTCAGTTGTGCTACTTAGCATGAATGTGAGTGCACTGTGAGGCAAACTAAGGTTTTTAGAGGAATATGATACAATTCCTATGCTCCACCTGGAGGGGCATTGAAGGTCTCTGAACTCCTGGATACGTTTTTAAAGAACTTCAAGAGTTATTACACTTTCCTCTGTAATTCCAGGAAAGTAGTATTATTAACAAAGAACTAAGAAGTTTCTGTACAGTACTGTCCATTTGAAGCACCAAGTCCTCCACCTCAAAGTCAGAGGTATTGTAACATGCAGATAACACCACAGCTACTTTTTTCCCCCAAAAATCTCTATCTAGGGCTTGACCAAGCTGCACACCATGGTAGCATGTGTGATTCTGAGGAACCACAGAAACGGCACTCCTGAAACCCAAGTGGAGAAAACGTTGGAGGTGTACGGACTCACAGGGCTCTGTCCCCCTTCTAACTCCAAGAGGACATCGCCACCTCAGGGGTGAAGGGATGTCATTGTCTGGGGACAACAGGGACAGCAGTGACATTGTCCAACAGCTTCCCTTCTTCACTCCTTAAGTTCTGGGTAAGCTGCACCTCAATCACTACCCCTCGGTTTTGGGGCAAGCAGGCAGCACTTCAAGCTCCCCCCTTGGTTTTGGCGGTGGCGGACAGCACCTCTTCCTTCCACCTGTTTAGAGGGTGATGGACAGCACTCCGCAGCTTGCCTTGGGTTTGGGGGCAGCAGGCAACACCTCAACCTTTCCCCTCGGTTTTGGAGGTGACGGACAGCCCCTCAAACGCTTCCCCATGGTTTTGGGTGCAGCACGCAGCACCCCAGCTGTCCACCTCTGCTTAGAGGGTGATGGACAGCACCCACAGCTCGCTCTGGTTTTGGGGATGGTGGGCAGCACCCCAACCTTCCCTCTCACGTTTCGGGGGTGATGGACAGCGCCCCACAGCTCCCCTTGGCTCCGGGGGCGTTGGGCAGCCCCGCACCCTTCCCCTCCCCTCACTCCAGGCCGGCGGGCGGCTCCCCCCGACCCGCGCCCTCACCGCCCGCGCGGGCGGCACCGGCGGCCCCTCCCTCGGGGCAGATCGCGCCCCGGGGGCCGCGGGTTCGAGCCCCGCCGGGGCCGCTACGGGGCCGGGTGGAGGGGCGCTCGGGGCGGCTCTTGCGGGGGGTCCCGGCCGGGCAGCCGCGGCCCCGCGGGCCCAGCGCACATGTGCGGCCGCCCGGCACATGCTCACTGAGCGCGGCGCATGAGCAGAGGCGGCGCGGGGGCCATCGGACATCTTGGGCCGCCCCGCTCGGAGCGCGGAGCGGCACCCGGGGCGGGAGGAGCAGCCACCGCCCCCCCCCGCGCCGCCCGACCCGCCCGCCCCGCCGCTTCCCCCCCTCCCCTTCCCCCCACATCCCACCCCGGGCTGCTCAGAGCATCCCTCCGCCCCTCTTGCATTTGTGTTAATTCTTCTCAGAGACAAGATGGCAACGCCGGCGGCGGTAAACCCTCCCGGTGAGTAGCTGCCGCCTCGCCCCCCCACAAGTGGCACAACACGCCCCCACCGCAGGCTCTCGCACCCGCCCGGCTCGGCGCGGCCCCGCAGCCCCCGGGCCGGGCGGTCCCCGCCGCTCCTCCCGCCGCCCCCGCTGCGGGAGAGCCGGGCCAGGAGCACCCCCGGAGCCGGGAGCCCTGGGCGGGATCCTCGGGGATGAACAGTTTCGCATAAGCATCGCGGGCACAGGGCAGGAGAGGAGCGGGGTCGGGCAGCCGGGGCACCGCGCAGACCTGTGCCTGCCCCGGGAATGGGTAGGAACATTGGGTTTCCCCATGCCGGTAGGACGGACAGGTTTATTGTCGGGCGTGCGACGCCAAAACAGGGTGTTTGAAACTGACCGAGGGCACCTCGACGTGCGCCGTGTGTTTATTTTCTTTCCAAAGGATGCAGTAAATATTTTGTGTTAGTACGACGGTTCCTAAGAGAAGAAACTTACAAAAGAATTTCTCTTTGAATTTTTGCATGAGGGAAGACATTCCCTGACGTTTCGTTACGTGTCTGTGAGATGCAACATTTATTTTGTCGAGTACATGATGAAATAAAGTGAGTTTGGACGAAACGACATATTTTGGAGATGTACTTGGGTCAACTGAGTGTGAATCAACAGGTGTCTGACACCAAAAATAAGTGAGACAAGGTATCTTTCACTAGGCTCAGTACGAAGGAAAAGTGTTGTTATCAAAGGTCGATTCCTGTTTTACTTGTTTTAAGATGTGCTTGCTGTGTGTCATGTTTTGGAGAGCCAGGTTCAGTTCTGACAAGGGCTTGCTTGAGTAAATGCCAACTAATGTGTAAAGCTTGTTCATTAGATTAAATTCTTCTGTAGTTGGTAGTGTAGTTGTCATGCTGAAAGTAAATATTGTGATATAAACAATTAATTTGGTTCAGTAAGTGCCAAAAAAGTAGGCAGGAACTGATATTTGTCAATCAGATTGAGTTTTAATGTCAGAATTCTACATATTAAATAAAAATCAATATTTAATGGAAGGTTATTAAATTAATAATAGTTTCCAGGATACCATGTCGCACATGATAACGGAGAGTTTCACAGCGTGCACTCACAACTAGAAATCAGTGAGTGGTTTTGCAGACAGGGGAGGATACAAACAGCCTTTTTTGACTTGGGTTTGGTTTGTCATTCTTCTATCTGCTCCTCCAAGCTACACACTGAAGGAACAGCCCCAACTGCTTAGAGGTCAGTGCTGAAAGCGCTGAATTATAGCAGAGCCCGGTGTCCCTTTTGCACCAGCTCTTTCCGCTTTCTGTTTCCACCTGCCTGAAGCTGAAGCCACAGAATGATGTGGTTGCAGGAGGTACAGTGTGCATGGATTGCTTAGCCTCAGAGTACCATTGTTCTTCTGTGGCCACTTTGGGAAATGAGAGAGCGTTATGGGATTATGGAAGAAACTTTAAAAAAAAAGAGGGAAAGAAGAGCCGAGTGTGTTGTCTCTGTGCACCTCTGTGCATCTGATATGGTGAAAGTTGACTTGCAGTGTGGTCCTCAAACTCTCTGAAGCACAGATTGATGATCTGCCAGAAGGAAATGTGTTGGTTTCCTGAAGGGAACCAACATCTTCTGCAAGGCTGAGGTTGCAGAGCATCATTTCACTCCTTGTCTGGGTGGTTGGAATAGATCTGAGCTGAAAGACAAACTCGCTGGCTGTTAATGATCCTCCCACATTTTCTGTGTGTGAGAGTTGTCAGACGTAGCTGTGCATGGACAAAGTCAAAATGAGGGGCTTTTGAGCTGTGAGGAGAGGAGACCTTTGATCTGTAGCATAGTGCTGCATTTGCTCTATCATGGACAGCAGAAGACAGAGCTATGTGAAATACCTTGATTTGTGCTGTGGTTTTTTTTAAGTCATAATTTGTTGCTTCTGCTGTTTTTTTGGCTTAACTGCAAAGTGGTGCAGAGAAACAGTCAAAATCTGTAGCGAAATTATTTTAATCCTGCTGTTTTCTCGTGGGGACAGATCCTCAGCTGGAGGAACACCAAAGTAGCCCTGTTAGTGTTAGTGAAGCTGTGCTGCCTTGTGCCAGTTGACTTTCTGATCCGCAGTGTTAGGGGAGCACAATAGAGAGATTAACTTGTTAAGCATCTTTAATGATGATTAGAAATTACAATATGATTAAATTTTTATTAAGCAATCGTCTAGGGTTCTAATAACAGTTGATAATTTAGGCAGGACATTAGCTTGCAGCTACCACAATACAAATACAAGTGATTTTAGTCATATTCTAGGTAGTGGAATGGGGATTAGCGGAGACAGAAAAGCTGGGTGTTCTGTAACTCTGGAAAGTCTTTCAGTGTGGGATCTCTTGGTTCAGAACCATGCACTGCTCTGCAGCAGCTCTCATGTTAGATGCAGATTTATCCATTTTCCCTCTGTTCTTTTTTCACTGGTGAATTTGAGTTGGAGAAGTTCAACTTCCAGAAGTGGGAATGGGAGCAGTTGGCAGCCTGTCCAGGCTGGGGCTCGGGGGAGAGGGTCAGGGACTGAATTGTGGTGGAGGTCACACCACCTCTCTGGGCTCCCTGGGCTGTGTTTGATCTAAACTCATAGTTCTTTTTGATGAAGGTGTTTGTCCACAGCTGCAGCTGGACATTGCACTGACAAAAGTGGGGGAGATCTGTGAGATAGGCTTCTTCCTCTTCCTGCATGCTCAGCCTTGGGAATGGATCTGGTTAGAAGTACTTTGTTCGTTTGTTGTAATCTGGATGACTAACTGGAGTGTGAAACACAATACAGGTGTGTGGGAAGCTCATCTGCATTGGCACAAAGCATCAGAGTTAATTTATTTCCTCCTGAAATAAGATTGGCATATTAAATGAGATTTAAGAACAAAAAAATTGTGGGGGTGTAACAAGCATTTCATAAATTACTGCTTGCAGCAAAGTAACTTAGTGCCATGTCTGCTTTAAAAGTGTGTATTCTTGGTATGCAAACTTTGTCCATAATTGTTAATACTCTGGGGTCAAACTTTGGTTAACTTGTATGTGATGTGGTTCTTGTATTAGCCAAGTTGGGTTAAAAACATAAAACTCTAAATGAATTTAGGATTTTCTTTTTTCTGAGACATTACCTGGTCCTAGGTAATGAGTTCCAGTCTGGCTCAGTCCGATGTGCGAGCAGCAGCTTTCTGCTCTGGTCAGGTGATGTGAAATGAACTGTTTGTATCCTTTCGGTCCTTCCTGGTGAGATATCCCTGTGGATTGCCAAAATACCACAAATTCAAAAGTCAAGTTAGGAGAAATCATGAGATTTTTGAGTTTATCCATAGTTACCTTAAAGGGAAGATCCCTTAGGATGCATTTTTGGTTATGTTTTAAGATTTTGGGAATCCTTAGGGGTATACTCTTATATTTAGTTGAGAAAAAACCCCCAAACCTGCGCTGTTCACGTAATCCCTAAAGCTCCTTTTAATGGTTTCTTTTTAAGCAGAGAGTCCAAAATCCAAAGGGTATGGAGAACAACATGTCCTCAAAAGGGCATCTAGCAGAGACGTCTTAAGATGGTAGGAATGAGAGAAAAGAGTTGCTGGGGCTTAAGAGACGACTATTACAACCACAGCACAAGGGGTACTTCTAGCCAATGGCTAATCCAAGATATAAAAAAAATGGGGTTGTAACTTGAAGAAAGATTATTAAATAAGCTCTCTTTACTTTCAGTTTGTAATGAGTTAACAGCAGTTTTTATGTCATATCAGTGAAAGCTTGTAACTCAGCCCTGCATCTGAGCTCTTGTTTTAGGCAAGTGCACTGGGTTGTGGGAGTTGGGTTTGGTTTGTATGTGTTTGTTTGACTTGGGAGTTTAGTGGAGATAAATCATTCTCCTGTTTCAGCTGGACATTCTGAGAACCAAATAACTTGTTACCCAGCTTTACATTTGCACTCAAGTTATTGAGATTTTAAGTGCTGTGGATGAATTTTCTTAATGCTACCCATTCCATATTCCCATAAGGAACTGGCTTTCTGAAGCTGACAATCTGGCCATTCTGCAGCTTTCATACAGCTTAGAAATGGATCATTAAAAAAAAAAAAAGGATCTACTTCAGTGTATTAGGTTTTGAAATTGTCTGTTCAACTCGTAGCCCAAAAGTTCTTGTGTTATATTGTTGCAGTTCTGCCCTTCATTCCAATGCAGCCTATCCAGTAAACCAAGAAATCAATTTCACAGCATCCTGAGAAGTAAATGGAGTGTTCTAGTGATGTTCTAGTTATAATGAGTTCTGATGTTTCTGGGATGCAAAAAAGTAGTCTTCATTCTAAGATAAAGCTGAATAAAAAGGGCTCAAAAATAGAACACTCATTAGCTAATGGGAGTTTTGCGTTGCAGATCTTTTTGTTCTCGTGTTTGTATAGTTTTTGTGCTGCAGAATTGGTCTGTAATTCAGTCAAACTATGAGGTGCTAGTGCCTCTTGAATTGTTCCATGATAATGTTTTGTCCTTCAGGACTGCTTACTGAACAGTAGCTGGCACTGAAGAAATGTTTGTTTGTTTTTTTTTTTTTTTTTTTTTTTTTTTTTTTTTTTTTTTTTTTTTTTTTTTTTTTTTTTTATAATTCTAATATATAGGTATAATAAAAGATTTCATTTTGGGATATCTCTTCTATCACAGAATAGTTATTTAAAATTTGCATAAGTAGCTTGTGGTTAGTTCCAAATATTTTTTCCAAGTAGAATAATGTTTCCCCGTGCCTCTAATAAAAACGCAAAACAAAAGAGATATTGCTGATTTCTGTAATACCATATGGTGTTGCTGATTTTTCTTACCAGTAAGGAAAATTGCAATAGAGATTAGGTAGCAAAGGGGAAAAAAAATAGGCTTTTCAAAGCAGGCAAAATAACCCTGTTGATGTAGTGATTATTGTTATTAAGAGGGCAGAAATGGGGCTGTCATTATGAAGATGTATTCAGAGATTATGCTTAAATGGTTGTGAAGATCAGATATGTGTG